CCGCGTGCACCGGCACCCCCTCCCCGCGCCCGCCTGGCCGCAGCTTGGCTCTCGGAGGTGGGGGGCGGAGGCCCGACTGCCTCGGGCTCCCGCGGTGTCGGCCTCCGCAGCTCCTAGTGTGCGCTACAGTTTGCAAAGCACTCGCAGTTTACCAAATGCAGTTTGCAAGCCCCCTACGGTGTTCTGGAGCGCTTCGTAGTTTACAAAGTAGTTTACAGTTTGCAAAGCATTGGCTGGATTAGACAGCACGTTAGAGCCGGCAGAGTCCTCTGTACATTGCTGCCAACAGTCGTCGACAGGTCCCCTTGCCGTGTGTGGGACCCTTTGGCTTTTACATAGGGTGTCCTGGCATCAAAGTGAGAAAGCCGGTGTGCAGATCACGTTGACTCACGGGCCAGGCCCCACGCCCCTGACAGCTTCTACCACCCATGACCTCCCTTACCACACTCCTTGTCCCAAGAGTCAGGGTCCCCTCTCTCCTTTCCCAGGCCCTGGAGTGGGGGCATGGGGATAGGGACCAGCTTGGCCTCCTTGCTGAGACTGATGTCCCCGTTTCCCACCAGGCAGCCCCCATAGGGCGGGTGCCTCTTCTGGGTGCGGGATTAATGATCTCTGAACTGAGACAGAGATGGCGGAGGCATGTGGACTTTCTGTTTCAGTTACAGCTGTGAGAGTCTCCTCATCAGGCAGCATTAAAAATACAGCAGGCAGGCCTGTCAGGAGCAGGGAGCTGCCTCCGAGGGAAGATTTGGTGAATTCCCATCTGGAGGCCAGGGTAGGCAACCTCCCTGGTTAAATATCTGCTCAGCCTTCCTCTGCTCAAATCCCTGCTGTGGCTCCCACCTTTTCCCGGTAGAAGCCTCCGATGGCCCACAATGCCCTACACCAGATGCCCCACCCGACCTCTCCTTCCTCCACCCTGCCGCCCCTGCCGCCCCTGACGCTCTGCTTTTCAGTCACATGGTGTTCTCTCACACCAAGCCAGGGACCTCAGTGCCTTTGCACTAACTGTCCGCTGCCCAGAACGCCCTTCCCCCAGATGTTCTCCTGCTCAGGGTGTCTGCTCAGATGCCACCTCTTCAGAGAGGCCTCCCTGACCACCTCGCCCTGCCGTATTTTCTTCATATTTACTTATTTTCATTCTTGTCCTCTGAATGCTTCCCCCATAAGACTGGGAGGGGTCTTCTTGCTCAGAGGCTAGCTCACATGGGGGTTGGATAATGCTAGAGGAAACAGGGCAGGTACAAGAAAGTTGGCTGAGCCTAGGAACCAGGTAGCAGGGCCCAGAGAGCCAGGCCCTGCCAGAGGTGTGCTGAGGCTTGGTCTGGGGGCGGTGCTGCAGTTCTGTGGATTCTAGGGGTCAGCCCCGGGAGGACTCCCCAAGAGCGAGTCAGCCTCCTCCACATTGTACTGCCTGAGGACTCGACCTCAGAGAGGGGGAGGGCCGAGCCCAAGGCCAGACAGCCGGTGGCACCAAAACTGGGAATGGAGGGTCCAAGCCCGGTCTCCCTCATGATGGCAGAGTGGCTCTGTGTCCGAGCGCAGGGTTCAAGAGAGGCTCCCCTGGCAGCCATGGGCCTCAGCCCTGCAGTCCCAGAAACGGGGGTTGGGATTCCACTCCCCTCCCCTTCAAACCTGTTGGGGTGACTTTGGCCCAGGAAAGGGGGAGAGGGCCGGCAAGCGGCTCTGCTGGGGTCTGAATGTGTCCTCTAAAATTTGTGTGTTGGAGACGTGGCCCCCCCCCATGCAATGGCGTTGGGAGGCGGGGCCTAGCAGAGGGGATGGGGTCCTGAGCGATCCGCCCTCATAAGTGGCCCAGCCGTTACCTCCAAGCGGGTGAGTTAATGTGAGAGTGAGCTGCCCAAAAGCGAGTTCGGCCTTCTCTCACTCTCTCTCACCTTCTCTTGCCTTCTGCTGTGAAATGATGCAGCAGGAAGACCCTTGCAGGATGACAACTCCTGGTTTATTTCTACTGGGGTTTTTTTCTGTTTTTTGTTTTTGAGATGGAGTCTTGCTATGTTGCCCAGATTGGTCTCGAACTTCTAGGCTCAAACAATCCTCCTGCCTTGGCCTCCCAAAGTGCTGGGACTACAGGTGTGAACCATCACACTCGGTCTCATGTCTGCTGTTTATGCATCACCCAGTCTGTGGCATTCCGTCATGGTAACACAAAACGTACCGAGACAGACTCCTATCACCAGCTTTATCTCAGGCTATTTTCCTGGCTTTGTTGTGGGCAGGGGCCTGGCTGGGCAAGCAGGGCCAGAGTCACCTTCCCTCCCAGCAGGGCCTTAATAGCATCTGTGCAAGCCCCCATCTGATGCACAAATCCCTCCCCAGCTACACTCCCCCCAGGGCCTGCCAACCTCTGCTTGCACACCTCCCCTGATGGGGAGCTCACTGCCACACAGATGCGCTTTCTGGAGGGATCCGAGTTCCATCTTCGTGTCTCTGTTCTACTTCCCGAGGCCTGTGACGTGAAGGCCCCATGTGTAAACTCTCGCTCGCTCCAAATGCTCATTTCTTTGCCTCTTGTGAAAGCTGTTGCAAATCCTTTTGGAAACCAGGTGGGAGGGTCTATATATACCTCAGCTGTACTATGTTTATCAGAGCTTGTGTATCTTCACGCCCAGGGCAGCTGGTCCTTCTGGAGGTTGCAAAGGCTTGGTGAGACTCTGGCCCTGTCTCAGGCCACCAGAGAGTGAAGCAGGGCCAGGGGAGCCCAGAACCCCTGGTGTCCTGCCTCTATTCCCTACCCCCAGCCGAGGCTCTGTCCCCCGCCCCCAAGTGAGCCACCTGCCAGGCTAGGTTTGGATGCATCCACCCCCTCTGTCCTTGCAGAAGCCGTGGGCTGCTCTATTCCTGTTCTGGGCCAGCCTTGTTGGGGACTTGAGTTGGGGAGGCTTGGAGGCAGCGGCTGCTGCAATCTCTTGTTGGGGATGGGGGTGTTGCTGTGTGCCCCAGCTCAGGAAGTTCTTCCCCTCCCTGGCTCCCAAGCCCTCCATGGCTCCCTATTCCCATGATATCCAGGAAAAGGAGCTGCAGTATGAGCTCTACTGCAGGGCCTTGTCTGGGTTGTTCTCTGCAGGACTTGACACGTGGTGGGTGTTCCCTGAGCACTTACTATGCGCCAGGCAGTCTTCTAGAACTGGAGCTATCACTGGGCTACGGCAGACCTGAGCCTGCTCAGGGCGGGCGTGAGATTCACCAAGGCTGGAAGTGGCAGCCACCTATTCCCGCGATGGCTCCCTAAGGAGAAACGTGGAATTCAATCTAAATTAATTAGTGTAATCTTTTAAACTAGTTAAGCTTAATTACAATGAAGTGATTCCGTTTGATTAATTACATTATTTTAATTTGAATTTAAAAGTCCCTCAGATGGGCGGGGACCAAGGAGACCAAGGGGTTGGAAGGCAGAAGGCCTGGGCTCTGCAGGCTGTGGCAAGGAGGCTAGACTTCATCTTCAGGGCAGGAGGGAGGTCACTGGAGGGTTGTGAGCAGGGGAGAGAGGTGACGGATTCCTGAAAAGTGGCAGTGACAACAAGAGTGCCATGTCCGCAGGGTCCCACCAGGCAGTACCTTGTTGCCTTCAAAGCCCTGCT